ATGATATATAAAGTCAATCAAATAACTTTTTAACATCTTTGTTTCATATTTACAGCAATGATCCAAATGTTCCCTTCGAAAAATTTCACCACCAAAATGAGCATTACACGGTATTTCATCATAGAAATAATTCATACTTTTAATTTTTGGAAACGCAAATTCGTTTAGATCAAAAAAATAAACATTTTTAAAACATTTTAAAATTGAAACTTCCATATTGCCACCTTTATAGAATATTAAATTTATTGGATATTTTTTAAAATAAGTTTCCAATTGATAGTATACATCTGTGCAAAAAATACTACTAGAGTTAGCCAATAAACTAGGATCATATGGCAAACCATGAATATATTTTTTACAATGATTAAAAGCTTTTTGATGTTTTTCTGCCAAGTTTTTATAGGGGATACAAGGCCAGACTTGTAGATGTAAGCAAAAATCTTCGTTTAATGCCCTTAAACAGATTTCTCTTATACAATTTTTTCCCCAAAAATGATCTTTTGTAAATTCATTATGAATATACTCGGTATCTAACAACCAAATCTAAAAAAATAACAATATTTTTTAATAAAAATAAAACGCATTCTTTTTTAAAAATTTTAAAACATGTATAAAAAACAAAAAAATAACTAATTTTTAAAAAAATTTTTTTAAAAATTAAAAATGAATCGAGTTGACAGCATCATTAGAAAAATTCATAACAATTGCGCTGTTTGCGCATTAGATGAAATAGCCAAAAGGTATCAATCTCAAGAAAACAAATCCGGAAACTCTTCACCTTCATCTCTAGTTATAGACGAGGAACATTATAAAGACGCATCTTCAAATGATTTTCTTGAAAATATTTTAAATTCAAAAAGAATCACATTAAATTCTTATTCTATTGAAAAATGCTTTAAAAACAGTAAATTTAAAAATTTACTCGACCAGCCACAACTATGTCAATTTCACTTGAATAAATTTGACAATATGAAAAAAGATCATCTTGACGAAAATGTTATAGCTGATTATTACAAATCTAAACTTAAAGTTTTTTTACTCGAAAGAGATATTAAACCTATCGTTCCATTTGAAGGTGATCAAACAGACGGATTCATCGATACTTTTACAGCAAAAATATTACCTACCGCTTCAACCATCATAGAAAAACTAGATGGAGTTTTAAAAAAGAAATCTGTTAAAAGAAACATTGAAGGAATCATAAAAGACGGCACGTCCGATAAAAAAACATTATTTGTTAATATTTTACACGCTATTGTAACATTATTTATTTCAAGTTTTTTTAGTTTAGAAAAAGAAGAATAAATGTGTACTAACGAATCTTTGTCTAGTTATTTTATAAATGAACCCTTTTTGAAAGATTATTTTATAGGTGTTTACGCTTTTGACGAATTGAGTCAAACTCAAACGCACGTAAACATTATTAGGCGGATGGTAAAAAATGGTTCTTTTTTTATTTATAATAACGAAACTATCAAACAAAATGGAGAACATTGGAGACTTTTAGTCAAATTAGACGCTAATCATTTTTTTTGTTTTGACAGTTTAGGTACTGAAAGCTGTTTAAAACAAATTCCACTTTTTTTAAGAAGCAATAGACATTTGTTTGAATCTGTAGAAGAAATACAAACTAACATACAAATAAACACTCTAAACATTAATTATAATGAGATTGAAATAAGTTCTTACATACGACAAACTAATCACTTTCCTTACGAATGGACAGCCGATAACCATGAATTTTATTGGTTTACAAAATTTGTATTAAAATATAGTTCAATGACGGGTCAACAAACTATTTTGTTTTCTTATAACAAAACTTGTTTCCAATGGGAAAACAGTAGTTTGTGCGGAGCTTTTGCCGCTTATTTTATATCCTTGTTACCAAACTATCTTATTAACGGTCAAATTTATTTACCTTTGTTGTGCAGATTACTGAACTATCACTTCTATGAAGTTTCATCTCTTCATGCTTCCGAACTAGCTCAAATAAATTTGCTTCCATTTTTTCACTTTGTTAGAACTAAATTATTTAAACACTTGGATGCTACTGCTAAACAACTTTTTGAAAAAGACATGAAACTACATCTCTATTTAAGAAAAACTGAGAGTCTGGTACGCAATAATGTATCAATGAAAACAATGAAAATTCCTATAGAAAATGACATTTTTAAAAATGAAGTCATGAGCAATAACAAGATTAGAAGCTTTTTAAAAGATGCTAGATTATTAAGAACTAACAATGAATGTCAATGGGATAAAATATCTATTCAAGATATCAATGTTATTAGAGATGTTATGAACGAAGAGAACCTTGCTTTAAAACGTTACGAAAATATGAACGATATGTATTTTTTCGATTACAGAAGATTAAAAGATATAAATAATTTTATTGACGTACCTCAAGATGATGTCATGACAAAAAAAGAAATAAAAACTCTCTTTGTTCAAAATTTAATATAATAAAATGTCAACAAGTATACAGAAAGCAGCTTTATGCAAAATTAGAGAAAAAGTTGTAGAAGAAATTTGTGAATCGTGCGCTGGAAACGGACTATTATATATCGTTAATTTGCAAGATCCGAAATTGATAAATTATTTAAAAGAATGTACGAGCACCGTTTTTAACAATGAAGTTTGGCTTCTACATAAACCAACTCAAACAAAATTCGAAATAAAAACAAATAAACTACTATGTGATGTGTGTAAAGGAAAAAAAAAACTTTTATTAAAAAAACACAAGACACAAGAAAAGAAAATAAACTTTACATTGTATTTTAATTTTATTTAAAAAATAATTTTTTACATTAATTTTATTTAATATACTTCAAAACTTTTATCCGCTGGTTTATATAAATTAACGGGTGGTTGAATTGCAACTGTTTTTGTTGTTACAGCAGGTGTTGATTTTTTCCCTTTCCATGCTTTTTTTAAACTGTATAATAATGAACCCACTTTTAAAACATTAGTTACATTTTGAGGTGTAACATAGTCTGATAAACCACGAGCGCGTTGTTTTCGTTTAACTTTACGAGCACGTCTTTTTTTTATTCGCATTCTTCTAACAACCATATTGATAATGAATCCTTTATAACTGATACAAAATCATCATATTTCATACTAAATACTTTTGTAACACTCATATCAAATACTTCGAATATAAAATCAATGTTAGCTATATCGTTTGAACGAGTTACTTTTATTTGATTGCTACCGTCCAAGCGAAAAAATAACTTGAAATTACCATTTACATCTTTCAAACTATCGTTTGTTTGTAAATTTTCCAAATCTTTAACATTAAAAAATTGTAAAAGAGATTCTTTAAAAGCAGTTACGTCCATTTTTTTTAAATAAATCTAAAATTTTTTTTTTAAATAAACATTTTTTTCTTCTTTTATATATACCCTTTTAAAAAAATAAAAAAACAACAGTATTAAATATATTATTTTGTTATAGGTAATTCATAACCAATATATATATCGCCTTTATTTACATGTCTAATAGTATATAAACCAGAACGTACTTTATAATCAATAACAAATCCTCCTAAAAAAGTAGAAATGTCTGTATGTCCTTCTTTTTCATTTCCACTTATTATTTGACATATATAATCATTAAAATATTTAAAAGTTAATATATATTCGCCATAACTTGTTACATCGGCTCTTATGTTATTTAAAGAATATTCACCCATATCTTCAAGTAATAATTTATAAAACTCTAGATCATCTTTAATAATATTAACGTATGCGTTAGTATAACAACTGATACAATGTTCTTTTCTGTGATATCTTTTATTAGCATGTTCGCAATAACTATGTTTAAACAAACAACCCTCATCTAACGACATTCTTTTTTAAACTAAATTATTTTTAAAGTTTATAAGTTATTTAAATAACTTGTTCACAGAATCAGCGAATGGATTACTTAAACCGCCTCTTAATCTTCTAAAAACGTTACCGCCACGGTGTTTTTTACCTTTATTAAAAAATTAATATTTTTTATTTAAATATATGTCAAACATGTAAACGTTTACAGTTTTTTTCCCTTAAAAAATCTCATTTTTTTAACTTGTAAAAAGCTTTAAAAAAAAACTTATATATTTTTTAAAAAATATTTTGTGTCACCCGACACTGTCCTTACTTAACCTGCCTTACCTTACTTGTTTTTCTTAGTAGGCCTACTTATTATTTTTACTCTGTTGTTTTTTACAACCGGTTGTTTGTATCTTACTTACTTACTTACTTAACCTTACTTACTTAGTCTATTATTTTTGCCTTACTTATGCCTGCTCACCCGTTCGTACATACACGCTCGTTCACACACGCTCAGGACTCACCGAAAGTATGAGCTCTCAGTGGGGACAATCATCAAGTAACAGTAGTAACACCGTAACTCAATGTGTTTTAACATATAGGACTCACCGAAAGTATGAGCTCTCAGTGGGGACAATCATCAAGTAACAGTAGTAACACCGTAACTCAATGTGTTTTAACATATAGGACTCACCGAAAGTATGAGCTCTCAGTGGGGACAATCATCAAGTAACAGTAGTAACACCGTAACTCAATGTGGTTAACATATAACTAACTAAACTAACTAGACAGACGTCATCAAGCGTTTGCTCAATGTGTTTATACATATAATGTTAAAGCCGTAAAGTTATAGAGAGATTCGAACCCTGGACGATCGGTTCATGGCGGTTTTCAACATAGTGCGGAAATGATACGATGCACTATGCTACGTCGACGTGTTGTTTAAGCGTGTTTTGAATTCATTTAAATTGTCATTTTAACACTTTACGTAGAGATTTTTTTCTACACAGAGTTTTTTTTAAAGTTGTTTACGCACATTTTAAGGGAAATTCCCTGGGAAATTCCCTATATAATCCTGAGTAAATAGTAAGATTAAAAGTTTCTAAATATAACTTGTTTGTCACAAAAACTCTTTTGTTTTACTTAATCAATAAAGATTAAATATTTTTTGTATAAAAGCTGCATTTTTTTATATCAAAAAATCAAATGGCGATTACAAAGAGAATTACAAAAAAAAATATGAAAAACATAGAAGTTATCGTTATTGATGAACAGGCGCTGGAATTTACTCCTGTAGACTTGACTGCAGAAGATTTTTTAAAAGAATTAGAAAAAAAAACAGTTAACGAAATTAAAAATGAAATTATGGAAAAAGGATCATCGGAACAAAACGTTCATTTACAAACTAAAAAAGTAAGATATTTTTATATAAAAAAATTATTCTTTTTTTAACTTGTTTTAACTTGTTAAAAAAATAATTTTTTTATTGTTTTAGAAAAAGAGCAAATACAAGCTCAAAAGAAATAGAGCGAGAAAAATAAAATTTTTGCAAAAGCAAATTCAAGACGGACTTGAATATTTAAAACAAAATTGTAACTAGTTTTTTTTGTAATTAGTTTTTTACAATAAAATATATTGTTTATTTCTTTTTTTTTTTTTTAACGCTGCATTTCTTTCATGTTTTCGATTAACGTAAGCATCGTTTGATATTTTCCATCGTTTTACTTTTTTACCAACGCGTCCTAATTTACGATTAGATTTGTTATCTTTATATGTTTTTTAGTTTTTCGTAAACATACTAATATATTTTTACAATTGCTTGGTATCCCTCTATTTTCTGTTTGCGTATGTTGCGAGTTTGTTGTAGTACGTACAAAATCAATTTGATTATTTAAATAATCGTCTACAGTTTTTTTTGATCTAGGCGTATATCTTGTGCGAGGCATTTTTTTAAAATATTTTTTGTTGTTAAAAAAAAAATATATTTATATAATAACATTTTTTTTTAATTTTTTTACAGATTTAATTATATAAAATAAAATGAGTGAAAATGAATTAACAAATATCTTGTCATTCTATCTTGAAGCCTATTGGCAACAATTTGCTAATTATTTAAACATGCATCGCTGTGTTATTGATGCCATTGATAACGATTACAATAGAAGTTATTTAAAAATATGTCGAGTCATTACGCTATTTTTTCAAGTTAATCCTGAAGAAAAAACTAATCCGCAATTTATATTAAAAACATTACAAAGATGGTTGATTGACGAACAACAAAAAAAAAATTTTAAATTAATAAACAATTTAAACGAATTAATTATTAAAGTTAAAAACTGTACTATTGAACCCATGGAATATTAGTTTTGTATATTATTGTATAACATGTTGTAATTTTTTTAGATTAATTAAAAAAACAAAAAAAATGGAAAGCCAAATGGAAACCATTTACGCCGATGTAAATAAAGCCATCTACAAATATGGCAAACCGTCTGCACAATTAGAATTTGTAAAACCATATGAGGCCATGTTTGTAGATGGCGACTCGATTTTTAATTTAAAAAACATCGACATAGTCGACGAAAAAGAAGACTACGAGTTGGATGATGACGATGAATACGATGATGATGATGACGAATATAATGATGATGACGATGAATACGATGATGATGATGACGAATATAATGATGATGATGATGAATATAATGATGATGGTGATAAAGAAAACGAACCTATGGAAATAGACAATTGACTTTTTTTTAAATTATTTTGTATTTTTTTATTTTTAATGTTCCTTTAGTTTTGAGTGTATTGAGAAATGTATTTTCTCAAAGCAGCCAAAACTAAAGGTATAAAAAATAAAAAAAAACAATGGAATGGAACTTTTATATTTTTAATGTCCCTTTAGTTTTGAGTGTTTTAATAAATTTATTTTCTTAAAGCAGCCAAAACTAAAGGTATAAAAAATAAAAAAAAACAATGGAATGGAACTTTTTTAATGTCCCTTTAGTTTTGAGCTTATTAAGAAAAATTTATTTTTCTCAATAAAGCCAAAACTAAAGGTATAAATAAACAATGGAAGAGAACACTTTTGTTTTGTTTACAATTATTATGAATATGAGATTACTTTTTCTATTCAATAGATAAAGCAATTTCGTATTCATAACAATGTAACATATTTTACTGAACAGCTGTCATTGCAATCGATATATATTAAAAATAATAATTTGTATTTTTTTACTTTTATTAATAAATATTTTTTTTCATATTGTTTTTTTATACTATGTTAACCCTATTTGACTATAATTTTACCTGTAATATTACATAATTTTACCCATAATATTTAAAAAAAAATTTTTATATTAATTTAATACTTTTTTTAAGCAACTAATTATACCAAAAAAAATGGCTGAAGCTATGGAAAAAGAATTATGTTATTATTGCAAGCTACCCTTTACTATTGATCAATTACTAAATCATCAATTAAAATGTAACACATCACAAGATTATGATTGTTTTAGCTGCGGAAAAAAAATTAAATTGTCAGATACTTGGGAACATGAATGTGAAATTTATCACGAGGAACGCGTAGAAAGAAATCAAACTAAATTATGTGTGTTTTGTGGAAATCAAATTCAAAAAAACTACTATGATCAACACGCTATTGATTGTTTACATCGTTTTGAAAATGAATGGAAAGAAGTAATGGAAAAACAAAAAAATATTATTATGGATCAAAAACAAAGTTTAATTTTTTTAAACATGACTAATAATAACATTCTGAACAGTTTAGCAACTGTCAACAAACAAATAAACGCATTAACCAAACAAATGGACAACATGGGTTTGGAAATAAAAGAGTTTGTGAATAAAAACACATTTGAAAAAATATTGAACAACATCAGCTTGGAAATGAAAGAATTTGTGAATAAAAGCACATTTGAAAAAGAATTGAAACTATATGATAATATATTAAATTATAATAAAGATATCAACGACAAATTCATGTCTGATAATTTAATTATAGAATTGGACCAAATGGATTTAAGATTGCAATCTAACGAAGCTTATCATACTCAACCTTCTTATACTGTAGACGGTTATTTCTACCGATTTAAAATTTTTGGTTACAGTAATCAAGAAGATAAAATGGGTATTTATTTTCAATTGATACAGTCTCCAAAAGATCATTCTTTAAAATGGCCATTTATGAAAACTGTAACATGTACAGTTAAAAACGAATATATTGAAAACACAAAAATAATAGCCAATTATAGCGAACCGTTAAAAGAATGTTTTGAAAAACCTGCTCAAGCTTATAACCGAGCTATTGGAACAGATAGTTTTGCAACGCACGAACAATTAAAAAGACATTATATAAAAAACAATAAACTTATTATACACGTTTCTTTTATATAATTTATTATGTATTTTGTTTTGTATTTAATTATTCATATAATTAATAAACTTATTATACACGTTTCTTTTATATAATGTATTTTTTATATTATATATTTTTTTTTTATAATGTTATTTTTTTTTTAGAATAATAAAAAAAATGAACAGTTCAATCATGAGAGATTTAGCTGACTACATCACTACGTCTGATGTAAAAAAATTAAAAATGTTTTTAGAAATACCGTACGGAATAAGAGAGAAAATTAAAGACGGACTAGATTTAATGGAATATCTACAATACAAAGATTTCGTGTATCAAAACTATGAATACAATACTAACGAAGCTAAAATCAAACTTATTTTAAATTTGTTAAATGAAATCGGTAGAAAGGATATCTATAAAAAGTTTATAGTTAAATTTGAAAATCCGCCATCATACGAAGAAAGTATAAATCCTCCACCGTATGCAGAACTGGATAATCGAGACAGATCCAATATAGATTTTCCAAACTTTAAAGTAGCAGATCCATTTTTGGCAATAAACGCAAAATGTAATACTCCGTCGTATTATCCGCCTGAAGTTATTTGTTTAAAACAAAAAGAACTTTTGAACTATTATAATAAAAAATAATTTTTTTAAAAAAATTTTTTATGTCCTTTTTTTTTTAATTTGTATATATAAACTTTTTGTAAATACTTATTATATAAATTGTTTTTTCTGCTACTAAGCAACATAATTTAGTCATGAAATCTTTTTTTAATATTTATATGGAATGTATAGATTGGTTATTTAAACAACATGAATATGTTATTAATCTTAATTTTAAACCTAATAGAAACGACATGTATGATTTTATTTAACTTTTTTTATTTTAGAATAAAAAAAAATGAAGCTAATTACTGGAGACGATCAAGACTTTTTATTTTTTAACAGAGAAGAATCCGATATAATGACAAAATTTTTAAATGTTGAACATGAAAAGATTAATGATCCATCAACATTAAAAGCGTTTGGCAATATATTATTAATGGTACAAGAAGAAGTTTTAAAACAAACAAACTATTTTAAAAACATTGAGAAAACAGAAGAAATTAAACGAGACTTTTATAATTTTGTAAAACAAGTATTATCAAAATAAATTTTTTTTTATTTTTTTTTAGATTCATAACAAAAAAAAATGAAACTTGTTAAAAATGATCAAATCAGATTTGTTAGTTACAACCCTCAAGAAGCAAGAATACTAATAAACATAGCAGAAGACCGATACGGATCAGATAGTTGTAGAGTGTTGGCAGAATTTTATCGTATTGGTGTTATTATAGACGAAGAAATTCAAAAACGTACGAACAATTTTACAAATAAAGAACTCTTTGAAAATATCAATAACAGTTTTGAAAACTTTGTTAAAAGTTTATTATGAGAATAAAAACAAAATTTTACATTAATAAATTTTTTCATTTAATATATTGTCTCTTTCCTTTTTTATAATATGATAACATTCCAATACATCTTTTTGCAAATATAATCCTCCAACTAATCCTTTACAATAATAACACAATTGTTGAACTATTATTTTTAAACTATTTACATAGTTTATTTTTTTATACAATTTATCTATACACGTAAAATAATAATAAAATGTTTTTAACACATCAAGACAATGTTCAATGACTTCACTATAATTATGAAAACACGTGTCAGGATAAAATACGCGATGCGGAAGACATTTAAATAGCAAATCAAGAACTTCTATCAACTCTTTTTGATATGTCTTTATCAATTTTAAATCTTTAATATAAAAACCGTATACTCTTTTACAACTATCCAATTCGCTTTCTTCAGCTAAAAGAACTTTATCCATCCAAACACCTTGATTTAAATGCGTTTCCTGTAAATGTTTTTTTAAATCTAAATTAAGTTGATATAAATATAACAAACAATCGTCCGTCGCATCAAAAGACATTTTGATAAATGAATTTTTTATTTACATGTATACAATTTATTTACAAATATATTTTTATATACAATAACAACAACCGCGGCACCGCTCAAATAAATCTTGTATGTACGGGCACACGGTTGTTGCGCAACAATGATTATGTTCGCTCTCTTCGCCTTTACATAAACAACATCCAAAACAAACCACTCGTCTAGTTGTTAAATCTCCATTTAGTGAAAAATATCGTTCATTTCGATTCATTATGCCGTCGTTTAAATGACGATCAATACGAATCATAATACCATCGAGTATGCGAACTTGTTCTAAAAAAATTATTTTAAACTAAATATTTTTTAAAAAAAAATTATTATAAAAAAATTTTTTTTAATTTACCATCGTCTATTTCTGGAATATCGTCGTAGATTTCCAATTGGTCTTCGTATGTTTCCTCATCTGATTCCTCAAGTGGTCTTGTTTCAACCACTTGAGGTACATAATTTTGAGGCGCTTTATAAGCATTTTCGGGCACATAGGGTTTAACAACCTAGAAAGAAATACACATCCATTTTAAAAAAATACAAAACATTTATTTTAAAAAAAGAAAACAATAAACTTACAGCTACAGGTTTGACAAATAATTGACGTTTGACTTTTATTTTTTTACTTTCCTCAATTTTTTTTACTTTACCCATTTTTTATGTTGTAAGAAACAATTATATAATATGATAAAATGCCTTTTTATATTTTTTATAACGAATATAATTAAAAAGCATTTGCTTTTTTTATATATTTTTTTTATAACGCTTGATTAACTTTAAACAAAAAAAATTTAATTTCTTTTATTTTAAAACATTATCGGATTATAACGTTATGACGTTATCGGATTATGACGTTAGTTATGACGAAGGTCGGGATGGAAGGTTGGGAGGAAAGTGAGTAAATCCTATATAGGTATATCATCATATGGTTTTTAATAAAAAGTCTATTTTCTTTCTTTGCTTGAAATTACTTTAAAACGTCTTCAACAAGAAAGTCAAATTTTCTTCATTCGTACTAAATAAAAAAAGTATTATAAGAATATAAAGTTATTACAAATTAGGAATTACTATAATTACATTTATAAAGAATAATTTGGAAACTTTTTTTTTCACGTGAGGATATAGTTGTTTTTTCTAAAAGAAAGTAAACATTAATAAAAAGTAGGGTACGAGATTTTATAGGGGGTGAGTGGGACAGTTTTTCAAAGTTTTAAAAACCTTCCCTCCCATGTATTATATACGTAAGAGTATAGTTTCATGTTAAGTGTGTGTCAGTGGAGATAATATTTATTTTTTTGCATCCTAAATAGGTTTCTGTCATGTATGGGGGAGAATGCAACATATTTTTGCACTTTTTTTTTATGCTTCATTAAAATTAATATAAAAATACTCTCAAAAAAAGTTACAAGTAAACTTCTGGTTGAAAAATAATAATTTGATGGAAAACTTAAAAAAAGTTTTGATGTTAAAATCATTTATAACGGTTTTTAAACCATGTCAGTTTACTCGAAAGAATGGTTTAAAATATTTTTGTTCAAAAATATTTCTAAAGAGTGGTTTAAAAATAAAATACTAAACTCTATTAAACTTTACCAATTTTATAAAACAGTAACTTTTACTTTCAAATTAATTTTCTTTTTAATAAGATCTTTTTTTGATATTAAGTTTTTTTACTTTTTGAAAAAAAGGTATTTTGTGACTTACGCCCTTTTAACAAAAACTGAATCATCTAAATTTAAATGCACAACTCTTGTTTGACATAGTTACTGTTATTGGAAACCATCTCTTAAGCATTAAAAAGTTTTGGTATTTGAAAAACCAAACCATCTATATTTGAAGCAAATATGATTAAAATAACTCGTAAAAAATTTAAACGCCATTGAATCACTCATTCCTTGCCTTCAAATGACATATTTGAAACAAAAAACGGACCTTAAAATGACTAAAAACTGCTTAGTTTAGAGCAAGACTAACATTAATATTTTTTATAATTTTATATAGGGCATATAAATATATGAATTTTTGATTAAAATTTCCCTTATAAGAATATTGCAGTTTACATTTTAATAATCTTTGATTTCTTTTATTTTTTACTAAATTGTTTATCAGTTATATCAATTGTTTATCAAGGTCAAGATGTCCTTGTGTTGGGCGTTGAGGTTACGAGTCACCTTGTGGTATACATCGTTTCTTGCAAAACAATTGCTTAAATATTCTTTCTTCACTTTGTTTAGAATAAATTAAATTAGTATAATATATGAACTAAAATTTAATTCTGTCTTTATCAAATAGCAGTTCAATAGTAGTCAAAACAGCATCAAATTCATTCAAATTTGAAGTCTGCACTGTAAAATGTAATTTTAAAAATATTATATTTATTATAAATATGTGTTTTTATATCAAATAAAAAACTATCAATCGCATATATATTTGGAAAAAAAAAGGCTAAAGTAATACGTTCGTTTTTATTAATTTTAAACAAACGCCAACGTTTGCATAAGCAAAATTAAAGAAAAGTGACGTTCGTTTTTCTTTCTGTTTTTTTTTAACAAACGTTTGCATGTTTACAAGAACATACACTTAACAAGTGTCGTTTATTGCAGCATGAAATAATTCTTTAGACGAACGTTGTTTACTGCATATGAAAACAGTTAAATATTATCTTTTTGTAATAAAATGCAGGCATTTTAAGAATTATTACAACAAATAAAAATTCTACAATAAAAGTGAATAATATATCAAAGTAATTTATATATAAAATATAATTAATTACATAAAATAAAAATTATTATTCAGCAATTTGGTGTAATAATTTTTTTAACAGTTAAATAATTTTATATTTGCCAATATAATTAAAAGTGTAGCAAGTTTTTGTTAAGAGTTCAATCTTATCAAAAACATTTACATTTAAATCGGCGCTCTTTTAAATTTTTTTTTTTTTTAGTGGAACGACCATATCTTTTAAAAAGCAGTTGATAAAAAAATACAGTTGAATATATATATATATATATATATATATATATATATATATATATATAGTATAATTATATATATATATAGTATAATTATATATATATATAGTATATTGAATATATATATATAAATAGACTTAGTGTTTTCAATTTTAGTTACAATGATCCGGGGCTGTAGGAACAAAAATTATATAACAATTATAAAAAGTAGGTTGTATGTAAAATTATAATAAGGTTTTTTCGGTTTTAATCTTTTCGTTTTAAGAACCTGCTACCGCTATCATGCATTTGGAAATCGGTTGCGATGGTTACAAAATCATATTATAAGCAAAACGTTTGTTTTCAATATTTACTGTTTTTTTCGAATTTATTAAAAGATTTTTTGAAGTTCGATGATCGAGTTTTAAATTTATAAAACTCACTTTTCAATTTATTTTCTTAAAATGCTTTACGGTATCATTTTGTTATCATTGTTTATTAAAATTCACACTGGTAACAAAACTTTTTAAATTTTGTAAGTATACTTCAGTTTTATAATCAATTTTTTCTTTTCATTTAAAAAGTTTATGTTTTGGAACTTAAGTCGAATTGTTTTAGGGCGATACGACGACAATGACCTCTTGAATATAATTATGACAACAATTTTTTTTTTCTTTTTTGTTTATTTTGTTGTTTATTCAGTGAATTTTTTTAAACAAAAAAAATGCAAGAAAAGATGCTAAGAATATTTAAATTTAATATTTTTGATAATAATTTGATTTCAAGATATAAGTTGATTCTATTCTAAAACTGTAATTTCAAGCGACTTTAATTTTAATTGTTTCATTCAATTTAATAAACATGTAAAATATTCCCACAATATAGTTCAATAATTTGTAAATCGACAGTTCGTCCAAGTTTTAATACTCCTGTGACACTATTGCCATTAGTAGTTTTTTTTATGTTCTCACCGTAAGTTAAATTTTCTCATTAGAACTTG